ACACTGTATATGTATGTGTGTGTTTTTCTAGTGATAAGTAATAAAAAAAAGAAATCCTCTGCGATTTATTGTTTTTTGACAGTAAAACATATAAACTTCCAAAGGGCCGCCAAGAAAACCTTGCAGAGCTTTCAGTTGTTCCTCTTTCTGTTTAAAACTCATAGTGTTTACTGTAATTCCATTTTAATATCATGGTGCAGAGATCATTTTTGTGCAACACAAAGCCAAACAGAATTTGTGAGTAACTGAAAGAGGAGCACTCAGTACTGATTAGTTGTTACAGGTAACCGCACTTCATTGATCTTGCAAGCAAACTACTTTTTTCAATTACTTTTTTTTTCCGCTGAAAAGTGTATGACACTGTGCTGGCAGCCACAGCAGACTTCCATTTACAGAAATAGATTCCTTCCATGCAGAACTACTTGAACCAGAGCTACTGTTGTCTGGAGAGCAAATACATAAGTAACTTCAACTGAATAGTCCTTTTATTCTTTATAGTACCTATAACAGAGATCTGTTTAGTCTTTTATTCTTGTAGGAATTGAAGGAATAGTAGATGCGTACCGCAAGTGTCTTCCTCAAGTTAAACTGTATGGCCCCACCAACTTTTCTCCAATTATTAACCACGTTGCTGCGTTTGCTGCAGCCGCAACTCAGCAAAAGACCGCTTCTGTAAGTAAACTTTTCTGGATTCTTGCATGATATTGTAATTTTAAATCTATTTATTTTTACTTTGCTTGCTGCATATGTTGTGAAAATTGTCCTTTCATTAACACACCAGTTCACACCAGGACCTGTTCACACAGAAGCGTTGGGGCTGCACTGGCAGCTTTTTCCAACAGACAAGGCAATTTGCATTGTGGTGGTGTGGGCTAAATAAAAGTATGGCATGTTGTAATGTTTTTCAGCACAATGTGGTGCAACACAATACAACCGCATCGCACTGTGCTCTGTCGATTGATCTTCATGAAATGTCACTCCTGACATTTCAATAAAGTTCTAACAAAAAAAAGTAAACAGTGATGCACCGGATCACTGCTTGTCCTTGCCTGTCATTGCACACCCGCAGGCACGTGTCAAATGTGGCTTGCTGGTGTTAATGGGCCTTTAAAGTGACATTAAAGCTTTTTTTTTTAATATATAGGAGGTGTTGTTTATTTGTTTTTTGTTTTTGTTTTTTTAATGTTCAGTTATCAAGTGGGTCCCTGCATCGCTCTCCCCTGCCCCCTGCACGGGTGCCTCCACCACCTAGACTGCTGCTGTGGAGGCACCATTGCGTACGTGTTCCCGGCCGTACCCCGCAATTAGCCGCGTGCGTCCATAGACACACAGCCCTGCGGCAGGCCATACCCCTCCTCTTCTTCTCCCAACAAATTGATTAACAACTGAATGAGCCTATAGCTCCTCTGCCCTCAGTATCCTTCCCTGCAACCAGGAAGTTCAGGGAACGGAGAATTGCTTCGGGTCCGGCGGCCGTGACAGCTGTGACACAGGTAAGTGTGGGAGGGGAACACCAAAAGGTACTGTTTTTTTTTTTTACCTTAATTCAGAGAATGCTTTAAGGTAAAGAA